ATGAGTTTTTTTTTCACTGCATTATTGCAAAGTAATGAGATTAACCATAAGTTCAAATGATAAGTGTTCATTAATTGGCACGGGGATCTTATGAGTTTTTTGCGAGATTTTCAAGTCTTAATCGATATTTGACCTCAATAATTTGTTATTATCAAAAAATTATCAAATGTATGAACTTATAAAGACTCGAAAAACCAAGTATTTATTGAGATGAGCAGGTCAGTGCTGAGGTAGGCCATTGCGTATAGAAATAGCACGTTATCGTCTTTTGATTGCAAGAAGCGTGAGGCAACAAGGGCAGTAATGGTAGGCATCTTTGGAGGATGATGTGCACAAAAGGAACAGCAACGGCCAGAAAATCAAAGACAGAACTATCACTGTCCATGCACACGTTCCAAAAACCCAATCTCGATGGGTAGTAACTATCGTCTGCAAGTAGAGTAGTTTCATAAAAGTGAAGAAAAACGGATGTAAAAAACCTTACCTGGCATTTTGGGCAGTATTCGGGATAAGGATCGAATGTATGGGCATTTTTGATGATCACCACATTTGGAGTGGTCATCAAAACCGGCTGTGGATTTACTATATAAGCGACACCGCCTTGGGTGTGCGCAATATGAGGCTGAGGTTGTGGCGGTGGAGGAGCTGAAATTTGCTGATTTACTAACAATAAGTCATGGATGCGAAGATTCTAGATTTTCAGGAAAAATTCGACTTTGTAAAATTATCTTATTACACTAGCTCAATTCCACTTTTTCTCTTGCTCTCTACACCCTACCCCTTACTCCGACCATGCACAAGTTTTTAGAAAACTCTTCCTGAAAGGTTGTTTGTGACCATCTTCAGCGTTACTTCTAGGACCCACCCTTACTCTAGGTCTAGACTGATAACAAGTAGCTCATTCTATAAATAGAGATGGAATTGATATCCTTGCTTCACAGATATTAGCACAGTAAGTCCGGATAACCCAGAGCTTACTAATGGTAGACATCTAGAATGCTTTTGTAATACTCTGCAAGAAATAATCAGTAGAGATAAAATTGCATACACCTTCAATTTTAAGAAGAAACGTTATAGAATAGTTTGCTCCCTCAGGGCTAGGAGAATTATCGTTTACTCCGGTATCCGAGCATTTTGCGAATTTATTAAAAGTATTTCGATCTGAGAGAATACCGTTGAGCTTTCACCATCAAAACTACTCAAGTTTTTTTCCAAACTTTGCAAGCGACCACACCTTTTCTTTTTCTGGTAGACCAATGCCTAGAGCTTTTTCTCTGTCAATCCATTGTGTAATAATTTCTCATAAACGTTGTAATGTGACACCTGATTGATTAAAATATTTGTACGAATTGTCATCTGACGCAATTCCGCAAATAATGCGCAAACTGAGGAATAAGAAACAGGAAGGCATTTTTCGACACTTGCAAATTTTGCGAACGCA